TAATTAAATTAATTTTATTTTATTTATTTTATTTTTGTTTATAATTACAATTATAATAAAATAAAAACTAAATAATAAAAATAAATAAATAATAAAATAACTGATTGGTAGAATAACAAATAAACTAATTAATTAAATTATTTAATTAAATTAATAATAAGTAAATAAATTAAATAAAATAAATAAAATAAAATAAATAAAATAAAATAAATATATATGTATCTTTTTTTCTTCAGGACATGTAGACCGATTTACAGATTTGATGATTAAAGATATGAAGACAGGAGATTGTTATAGAGCAGATAAATATTTAGAAGAGTTAATAGATAAAGAAATAGCAAAGATAAAAGAAAACGATAAATTAAATGATGAAGACAAGCAAGAACAAATAAAAGAATTAGAAAAAATACAAAGACAAGCTGATGCATACACCGCAGATGAATTAAATAAACTCTTCACACGTTTTCGCGCAGTTTCTCCTGAAGGTAATCCTTTGTCTTATCCTTTTCCTTTTAACTTAATGTTTTGTTTAAAGCTAGGGCCGAAGGATGAAGCAACAACTAATACTCCAAGCACCAGCAGCAGCAGCAGCAGCAGTGAACTGCAGCAAGAAGACAAACGCGAAGCATCTCCCCAGCAGCAAGAACAGCAAGCCAAACAGCAACAACAGCAGCAGCAGCAGCAGCAAACGAAGCAGAACAAGCAGCAGCAGCAGCAGCAGCAGCAGCATTCGAATGAAGGACGAGGATATCTAAGACCAGAGACAGCTCAGGGTATATTTGTGAACTTTCGGAGATTTTACGACTATAACGGGGGCCGCATGCCTTTTGCTGTTGCTCAAATAGGGTTAGGGTTTAGGAATGAGATAGCACCGAGAAACAGTTTAATTCGCTGTCGCGAGTTCTTAATGGCTGAGATCGAGCACTTCTGTAATCCTGAAGAGAAGAATAACTTTGAAAGATTTGAAAAGGTCAAAAATGAAGTGCTGCCCTTATTTAGTAAGGAATCGCAACTGGGATCGGGGATCGTCTCCCGATCCCAGACACTTGAACAAGCTGTGGGGTGTGGGGTTATCAATAATAAAACTCTTGCGTATTATCTTGCTAAAACGTTTTCTTTCTTAAAAACACTCGGCTTAAATGATAAATTTATCCGCTTTAGACAACATCTAGACTCCGAGAAGGCACACTACGCAACAGACTGCTGGGATGCTGAAGTTAAAACTGCTGCAGGGTGGATTGAAGTCGCTGGGCATGCTGATAGAGCTGGTAAACCCTAAACCCTAAGCCCTAAACCCTTGATTAACCCTAAACCCTTGTTAGACAGTCGACTGATCTCGTAGGGCATGCATATATATATATATATATATATATATATATATATATATATATA